TATATATTATATATATATTGTGTGTGTGTGTGTGTGTGTGTGTGGTATGTTGTGTGTTTATATATATATAAATATATATATATATGTATATATATATATATATATATATATAATATATATATATATATATATACATTATATTCTGTCTTTTTCTATTTTGGAGTGGGAAGGATGAAAGAGAATGCACGTGCCAAGAGTCCGACTTAGTCCGACATACCCCTCTCCCCTTCGATCCCGTCCCCTAGCTCCCTACCCTCTCCCTTACCCCTTCCTCCCCCATACCCCATCTCCCCTTCGAACTCCTCACCTAGCTCCCTACCCCCCTCCCTTACACATCCCACCCCTCAGTCTTACCCCCTTTAACCCCATCTTTGAAAAAAATGGGGGTGAGTGACCAACTGCTCTGACCTTTACTCTACCTCAATCACGTCGAGTGTGTGACCTGTTCTTTATCTGGTCATGTGTGAGAGGGGTGATGGGTGAGGGGGGAGGGAGGGGAGAGTGGAAAGTAGAGGTGGGAGGGTGGGAGGTAGGGAAGGAGGAAGAAGGGTGGGCATTGGGGAGGGAGGGAGACAGTGAGAAAGGAGGAGAGGGGGAGAGTGAGAGGGGGAGGGAGAGAGGGAGAGGTCGCCTACCCCAAGAAAACATGCATCTTATATAAAAGCTTTCGAACGAGTGGTCACCATCTCTCTATCTATTCCCGGTGTGTGTTGTGTGTGTTGTGTGTGTGTGGTGTGTGTGTGTGTGTGTGTGTGTGTGTGTGTGTGTGTGTGTGTGTGTGTGTGTGTGTGTGTGTGTGTGTGTGTTGTGTGTGTTGTGTGTGTGTGTGTGTGTGTGTGTGTGTGTGGTGTGTGTGTGTGTGTGTGTGTGTGTGTGTGTGTGTGTGTGTGTGTGTGTGTGTGTGTGTGTGTGTGTGTGTGTGTGTGTGTGGTGTGTGTGTGTGTGTGTGTGTGTGTGTGTGTGTGCGTGCATATGTATGTATGTATTATCTATCTATATGTATGATGTGTATGTGTGTGTGTGTGTGTGTGTGTGTGTGTGTGTGTGTGTGTGTGTGTATGTGTGTGTGTGTGTGTGTGTGTGTGTGTGTGTGTGTGTGTGTGTGTGTGTGTGTGTGTGTGTGTGTGTGTGTGTATGTATATATATATATATATATATATATATATATATATATATATATATATATATATATATGTGTGTGTATATTATGTGGTGTGTGTGTGTGTGTGTGTGTGTGTGTGTCGTGTGTGTGTGTGTGTGTGTGTGTGTGTGTGTGTAGTGTGTGTGTGTGTGTGTGTGTGTGTGTGTGTGTGTGTGTGTGTGTGTGTGTGTGTGTGTGTGTGTATATATATATCTATATATATATATATATATATATATAGACATAGAGGTATGTATATATAAAATCTGGGCCCTTCCCTCCAAGGAATCCCGTCCCTGCGCTCCCTCTCCCTTGAACTGGACCTAAATCCGCCACTGAGCCAATAAACAACGTTGCAAAATCAGAATCCGCGCAAGACAGCAAAACCCTCTCGTATTTTTCCGCCTACTGCATACTGGGAAAAAAACGCCCAGAGACGAGGTTCGCCGAATTCACCCAACGCGTATATCGGCGCCCATAGCGACAGCCCGCCCACCGCCTGCCCATCACCCGCCCATGTCGAGCGGGTCGGTAAGTTCGTGGTTCACTTACGTCAAACCTTTTTTTTTTTACTCTTCCTTTCCAGAACTCTCATGAGTTCTTATATACCTGGGTGATTTGTTTGATAAAAGTAATCAACTTTTAGCATGATAAGATATGACCGCGACGATGGAAGGTCAACACACACACGCGCATATACTGTGTGTGTGTATGTGTGTTTATGTATTTATGTATGTGTGTCTGTGCGTGTGTGTTAGTTGATGTATTTATGTATGTGTGTCTTTATGCTTGTGTGTTTATGTGTCTGTATGTGTTTTTTTATATATCTATTTGATTATCCATATTTATGTCACCTGTTGTAGTTCTTTTTACGTGATTTTTAAAAATCCCATCTACATGGCTGTAAGATTATCAATATCATTATTAAGATTTTGTTATTAGTATTGATATACTGGACTGAATATGTGTTGCGAAGTAACAGGCTTGCTTCAGGTAAGTCATACTGGAACTAGGCAATCAGCTGACCTCATCGTCCATGAACTCGCGATTGAAGTCGTGTGCACAAGTTACTAATAGGCACAAGTACACATGGTTCAGGGAGATAAAATGAATAAAAACTACTTTTCCGGTGTCTTCCGCCTCGAGTCTCGGGGAATCAATTCAAGTTCCATATTTAGGAAGTCGGTTACTCGGCCTTCCGCCCACGTTTTTTGTCTCGCATAAATTCTCACACACACACACACACACACACACACACACACACACACACACACACACACACACACACACACACAAAAGCATACAAACACGCACGCACACAAGCATACAAATACACGCACACAGGTACAAGACACACATACATAAACACACACACACACGACTCCCGCCCGGCTATCTACTGCCAGCGAGGCCTATGTCGGCTGGCTTCTCATGCGCCGCCCACGTGCAACGGGCATGGGCCTCGAGGGCAGCTGGCCAGTGTATGGGCGAGGTACTTGGTGCCCATGGATACCACGGGATGGGCGTGCGGTTCTCCTCTCGCGCTGGTTGGCTTTTGGATGCGTGGGCGCCGGCTGTGGTTTCGAGAGAGAGAGAGAGAGAGAGAGAGAGAGAGAGAGAGAGAGAGAGAGAGAGAGAGAGAGAGAGAGAGAGAGAGAGAGAGAGAGAGAGAGAGAGAGAGAGAGAGAGAGAGAGAGAGAGAGAGAGAGAGAGTTAAATGTATGGATGTACGTGTTCATAGCTCAAAGCGCCCTTGGTTGGGGAGGGAAGTACATCAGCGGTATGTAGCCTTGTCTCTGTGTCTGTCTCTCCTTGTCTGTCTCCCACTCTCTCTGTCTTTGTCTGTCTCTCTGTCACTGTCTCTGTCTGTCTCCCTGTCACTGTCTCTGTCTCTTTGTTACTGTCTGTCTGTCTGTCTCTGTCTGTTCGTCTCTGTTTCTGTCTGCCTGATCGTCTCTGTTTGTCTGGTCTGTCTGTCTGTCCTCTCTCTTTCCTCTCTCTCTCTCTCTCTCTCTCTCTCTCTCTCTCTCTCTCTTCTCTCTCTCTCGCTCTCTCTCTCTCTCTCCTCTCTCTCTCTCTCTCTCTCTCCTCTCTCTCTCTCTCTCTCTCTCTCTCTCCGTGTCTGTCTCTATTTCTCACTCAGCATATGCTCACGTTTGTTGTGTCTCCGTCTTTCTCAATCATTTTCTCATGGACGGCGCTGAAGTTGGGCTGAAGAATGCAAAATTCCCGTGCACGAAATCTCAGATCCATATTATGTTGATATTGACGAAGATACTCTATAAAATGAAGAGAAAAACATAGACAGAAGAAATAGAAATAAACAAAGGGAGAGGGAGAAGGGAGAGAAGGAACAGACGACACGAATTATCGGTATTATGCACAGTGAGTGCCTGATGCACGATAATCTAGTTATTTTCGGTATGTATGCATGTGCTTGCTTATTTCGTCTGTCAATGAAAGGTCGAGAGGAATGCCACTTACCAGCAACATGGACATGCGCACACATTTACACGAAACACACACTCGCACACGCACACATACACACATACACACAAACAAATGAAGAGAAAGAGAGTCAAAGAGAAAGAGAAAGAGAGGGAAAGGGAAAGGGAAAGGGAAAGGAGATGGAGATGGAGATGGAGATGAGAGATGGAGATGGAGAATGGAGATGGAGAGGAGAGGGAGAAAGAAGGAGAAGAAGGAGAAGGAGAGAGGAGAGAGGAGAGAGGAGAGAGGAGAGAGGAGAGAGGAGAGAGGAGAGAGGAGAGAGGAGAGAGGAGAGAGGAGAGAGGAGAGAGGAGAGAGGAGAGAGGAGAGAGAGAGAGAGAGAGAGAGAGAGAGAGAGAGAGAGAGAGAGAGAGAGAGAGAGAGAGAGAGAGAGAGAGAGAGAGAGAGAGAGAGAGAGAGAGAGAGAGAGAGAGAGAGAGAGAGAGAGTGAGTGAGTAAGTTAGTGAGAGTGAGAGAGAAAGTGCATGTGAGAGAGAGAGAGAGAGGAAGTGTTACATGTGTGTGTGTGTGTGTGTGTGTGTGTGTGTGTGTGTGTGTGTGTGTGTGTGTGTGTGTGTGTGTGTGTGTGTGTGTGTGTGTGAGAGAGGAGAGAGAGAGAGAGAGAGAGAGAGAGAGAGAGAGAGAGAGAGAGAGAGAGAGAGAGAGGAGAGAGAGAGAGAGAGAGAGAGAGAGAGAGAGAGAGAGAGAGAAGAGAGAGAGAGAGAGAGAGAGAGAGAGAGAGAGAGAGAGAGAGAGAGAGAGAGAGAGAGAGAGAGAGAGAGAGAGAGAGAGAGAGAGAGAGAGAGAGAGAGAGAGAGAGAGAGAGAGAGAGAGAGAGAGAGAGAGAGAGAGAGAGAGAGAGAGAGAGAGAGAGAGAGAGTCGGGCAAACAAACACGACTTGCCCACAAGCTTGCACACTCCCGCAGACAACTGTCCATGGGAGAAAGAGATAGAAAGATAATATATAAGAAAGAAAATAATATTAGGAGACAGCAAGGTGGTGATGAGAAAGAGAATGGAGAGCTGGTAACTGAAAATATGCAAAGGCGAATAGCGAGAAGAAAAAAATTGAGGTCGAAGTAAAACAAGATCTGAAACAAAAGATAAGCACGATAAAAGATGTCTTACACGATTTTCTTATTTTTCGTTATGTAACCGACAATTAATTCCAAAAATCCAAACCTGCTCTTGAGAAAAAAATATGCAATGTACTTCGTTCCCGCCTTTTTTGCTTGAAGAGTAACACGCAATTTCAACTGACTGGCATTTCCTTGCTTCATATTGTTATTATCGAAGAGCACTGATGTTTACTGTCAGTCTTGTTTTTTTCCATTTTTTTTTTTATCATGGAAGGTAAATTTCCACAGG